TATAAGCACTTTGCACTTGGCATCATCCACAGCAGTTTTTCTCCTCGAGTTACACTCATATACTCTCAGATGGTCAATTTATCAACAAAAACTGCAGAGCCGCAGCCACTGCCACCACCAAAACCATCACTGTGGTGCCACCACCACCACTGAGGAGCCGCTGTTGCCACTGCCACCACCACCACTACCACTGCTGCCACCACCAACACTACCACCACTGTGGAGCCACTGCCACCATCAAAACCACCACTGTGGTGCCACTGATGCCACCATCGCCATCACCACTACCACCACTATTACCACAGGAACGCATTCCTTTATCCGAAACCCATGGGGCCAGTAGAGTTTCGAATTTCAGAATTTTTCAAATTTCAGTATGAAGGTGGGGTCTAGGGCAGCACCCCATAATCAAACATTAACACTGCAGCAAAAATGTATGAATACTCACACTAAGTGGGATAAATAGATGACAAATACTACTACGGTTCATTTATAGAGTAAAATATTGATAAATGAAATATTTGGACAATTATAGACCAGGAACATGATTCTCAAACGATGAAGCAGCACTATGACAGACGATATTTTTTAAAGACTTAAAACTGATTACAAATTTTCACAATATCGTCTATGGGGACTTCTTCACCTGTGTTCACAATGTCATCATCATCATCATCATCACTAATATTCTCATGCTTATTTTTATTTAACACCATTTCTTTAAATCATAAACAGTGGTAGTTCCAACACCATATTCTTCAGTAAGATGCCGCACTGACACACCACAATCAAGCTTTTGCAGTAACTCTACTTTCTGCGTTATTGATAACGTCAGATGCTTCCATTTCTTTTTCTTACTGTTACCCATAAGGGTATCTGCAGCTCTTTTAGACATTTTCACAGTGAAATTAAATACAGTCACAAAATAAAAAGCAAAAACAAAATATCAGAGAACAGCAGATGCACGTGTGAAAACTACAAGTGCCTAGCTTTATTGACAAGCTATTTACAAGTTAAGGATTCCTAACTTTACTGACAAGATAAGAGCTGTTACCTACATAAGCTCATTTGAAAGCATTTTTATTGTTATGAAACATACAAGTAGGGAACAGGATGAAGTTGGAGCCATCTGTGGGCCAGCATTTTCATTTGATCAACTGACTTTATCTCGTTGACATCATTATGCTGTACGAATGTGTTCCATACTCGAGTCATCCTGGGTATGTATGATCTCGGATGGAGTGACGCTCTGGAGAAGGGTACAGCCAGAGTGAAGTTGCTGCTTTCTGCCCGTCTTGTGGCATAAAAGCTTGTTTCTCACTGTCCTCGAAGTGGATCCAAGTGTAGTACTTTGACAATGTTGGCATTGTACATAACAGTAAGGCCACCCACATCCCTCCTATGTTGAAGGCTCTGCTGAAATGACAGATCTATCCAGGATGGGTACAGGCAAGAGACAAGACGTCTTGCTCTGTTCTCTACTCTGTCAGGCAGTAACAGATGAGGGGAAGGGCAGGCAAACCAAGAAAGTGGAGCATACTCAACCTGTTAGCATACTTGTGCCTCATATAGAATCTTGCAACCCCTGCTGTCAAGCAGATGCGAGATACGCTGAAGTCCTGTAAGCTTCCTGGCTGCCTTGTTTGCAAGAAATACAACGTGGTTCTTCATGGTCAGTTTGGAATCAAGTTTCACCCCAAGGATATCAACTTCTTTTCCCAGGTACCAACACCCTCCCATTCATATTTACTACTGCACCAGCATTACCATCATGCTTCCTAGAGACCATCATCATGTGTGCTTTCTCAGGTGCAAATGTTACTTTCCATCTGTTTCCCCAAGCTGATATAGCTCTTAGCTGGTGATTGGCATAGCTTAGAGCAGCTGGCATTTCTTCTCTTGGATAAGTGAATGTCAGAGTACAGTCATGTGCATATGCATGGGATTCTGGGATGAGATGAAGGTCATTGAAGTAGACATTCTATAACAATGGTACCAGCACACTTCCTCGTGGGACACTTGCCCAAATAGGATGTCTTGCTGATTCTGTTCCATTGAGAACTACCCTTAGAGATGAAGATTGAGATACTTACGCAACATATGAGAATCTTCAGTGAGGAAACGTTTCGCCACACAGTGGCTTCATCAGTCCAATACAAAGTAGAAAGGTGAAAGGAGAGGAGGTAATCAGTCCCTCAGCCTGGAGTCGATGTGTTCAGTCCATCAATCTTGTAGAATGGACTGAACACACTGACTCCAGGCTGAGGGACTGATTACCTCAAACTCCTCCTCTCCTTACACCTTTCTGCTTTGTATTGGACTGATGAAGCCACTGTGTGGTGAAACATTTCCTCAATAAAGATTCCCATATGTTGCGTAAGTGTCTCAATCTTCAACTTGTCGGTTTACAAAACCATTCATTACATACCCTTAGAGATCTACCATGAAGGTAATCACTGAGGAGACATAGCATAGAGCCTGCAATTTCCAGTGCTTGCAGTTTTGCCAAGAGGCCCTGGTGCCACACACGGTTGAAAGCACCAGCAATATCCAGTGCTGATGAAGGTGACTTTGTATTCATCCAGTGACTTGTGCCATTTACTGGAGAGGTTTAACAATAGATTAGCAGCAGAGTAATCTTTCCTGAAGCCATATTGACGGTCAAAAAGTAGTGAGTGGTAGTTGAAAACCTCTGTCATTTGACTTGAGATTATTGTTTCAAGGATCTTGCCAGTCATTGAGAGGAGTGACACTGGTCTGTAGTTGCTGATTTCTGCTCTGTTCTTCTTTTTGTGAACAGGGACTACATTTGCATCTTTCCAGAGAGTAGGCCATTTACAATGTACTAGGCAGTGCTGAAAGATGTGAGTTAGAGGTGCTGCCAGCTGGTCTGCACATCTTCTCAACAGTCTTGGGCTCAACTTGTCTGGGCCCTTTTCTTGGTCAAGCAATTTAAGAAGGAAATGCATATCCTCTTGCCTTATTGTCACCACTGACAGTTTTGACACAGTTCTTGCAGCTAGCCAAGGAGGATCCCTTGCTGGATCACGAACTTGCATTTTGGTAGCAAAATGTTCGACAAAGAGGTCCGCTTTCTCTTGACTACTACAGGTTCTCCATCAAAAATCCGGCATCACTGGGACCTGTAGTGTGCCGGATTACTGAGTTTGGCAAATTACAGAGTGGTTAGGTTAGAATACACTTAATAAAATTAACCAACTTGACTTACACAGTTCATTGAACATCGGCAAAAATCGAACATTTCCGCTACTTTGAGCTCAATTTCAAGGTACTTTTCATCATGAAAGCAATCAAAATCATGTTTATTTCTGTAATATATCTTCCATTCTATCAAATGAGTCCAAAAAATGAAAATACAACCATAAAAACCATAGGAAAATATACTGCAAAGAGGCGGCTAATGGCTGAGAAATTAACTCCCTTATTTATCGTCCGTCTTTTTTATTTTTGTTGTACGTTAAGCATCTTTCCATCATACACTGCCCAAGTTTCAATGACATAGCCCAACAAACAACCGAGAAAAAAAAAATATTTACCAAAAATCATATATGGCAAGCCCAAGCCAGGTACTGGAAATAAGTCACTTTGTCTGACTTTTCTGGGTTATCCCAGGTTCTCTATACATACACTGCTATGTATGATAATCTACGTAACTGTATTTGTGTATACCTGTATAAACATATTTACTTCTACTCTGTCAACTGAGTACAGGAAACCGTCCATTCACTTATTTCAACTACCCAATAAAGCGGTCAGAAATTGGCAATTTGGCTGATTTCATACAAATTTAAACAGATGCCAATCTCAAAATAGGGTCCAGAATAAACAATGCAGACATTCCTGGCACTAAAATAACATTTTCTCTGTTAATTAGTCATGGCTACAGGCCCCTCTTATATTACAATAATGTCAAGCCATTCTTGACTACGTATTGGCCTGGCAGGCGGACAGGTATTGGACGGTGACGTCATTTGTTTACTCTTGAACTTCGCTAAAGAATAGAACATTTTCGCTACTGTGAGCGCAATTTCAAGGTACTTTTCATCATGAAAGCAATCAAAATCACATCTATTTCTGTAATATGTCTTTCAATTTATCAAATGAGACCTAAAAAATGAGAATATAACCATAACGACCATACAAAAATATACCGCTAAGCAGCCGCTAATGGCTGAGAAGTGAACTCCGCTATTTATGGTCTGATTTCTTTCATTTTTGGTGTACGTGAAGAAGTATCTTTCCATCATACATTGCCCAAGTTTGAATAAGATAACCCAACAAACAACTGAGAAAATAATATAATAATAATAATAATAATAATAATAATAATAATAATAATAATAATAATAATAATAATAATAATAATATCTTTATTTACTACAGGTACATGTACAAGGTATACAGGCCTAGCTGACATCAGTGACATACTACTGTATAGAAAGCTGCTTGTTATGCAGAATATTTCAAGAAAATTAGGTCAGTGTCCCAGGATAACACCCACACTAGTCGACTAACACCCAGGTACCCATTTACTGATGGGTAAACATAGACAACAGGTGTAAAGAAACACGCCTAATGTTTCTACCCTGGCTGGGAATCTAATATTTACCAAAAATCATATATGGTTAACCCAAGCCAGGTGCTAAAAATAAGCCACGTTGACTTGTTTTGGGTTATCCCAAGTTCTCTACACATATGCTGCTATGTGTGATAATCTATAGAGAGAAAATAAGTTTTTTGTTTCAGGTTTATGGTGCAGTATGAGTGTATATGACAGTTAGGCCTGTGCTACACTCCGTTTTCTCTAATATAAGCCCCAAGACAGGGATAGGAGAATGGTATTTGTATACCATATCCTCTTCGTAACTCTGTCGAACTGCTCTGTGTTATGGCAAATATTATTCATTCTGGAGTATTTAACATGTTTTATGTTATTTATATTGTTTCTTATGTCATATTAGATCAATTGTGATAGGCAAATAAGCTGTAGTGTTGATATTAGCATAATAATAACGCATATTCTCCTGCTTCATGAGACTGAGCTCATGACAACCAACAGTGGCTTCAAAGTCACCTTATCTTTAATGGATAATGTACTGTGTAGGTGCTTTACATAATGAGAAGCATTTCTTTTATTCATCAGAACCATGGCTAGGGCTAAAAGTAAGCAGGTTAAAACAATAAATGGAGAAAAAGAAATTGGAATGACTTATGCAGCAAGTAGCGCCACCAAACAGTACCAGCAGGTTGGTGTGGCGACCCTGGAAATTTGAAATTATGCTAGCCAAAATTAGTGCCGAATAACTGAAGGAACCGAATAACTGATTGCCGGATTTGTAATGACGGACCTGTAGTAGAGGTGGTCCCATCCCATCGATTTAGAGATGGAATGAGTTCATCAGGCGGATAACCTTGTCTGTCCTTGACCAGGGACCACCAGGTTATAAAGCCTACTTTACCTGATGCTAGTTTTCTTTTTGTGTCCACCTCCCATTTAGCGATGGCCCACTTTTGAACTTCACCCATATGCCCTCAGGCTTGCCCGTGCAAGTTCCTGTTATAGGTGGTAGGATGTCTCTTATACCTTTGCTACACCTTGTACTTAGCAGTAGCAGCCTCTCTACAAAGAAGGCCAAACCAAGGCTGATCTGTAGGCTTCGTCACATATTGCCTG